TGCAAATCGGGGCAGCGGTATTAATAAAGCGACGACGTGTTTGCGGAATGGCATAAAAGGGCTAGACGTAAGTTTGGGTATTAATGTATACAGGAATGAGTTAAACAGATAGAGGAGTTTTGCGCATCGCACTTTACAAAAGCTTTGCACGGCGACTTTGCTGCAACAATACATTGTGAACGCACTATGAGGTGAATGTGAAATCTGTCCGTGCGCAATTGTTTACAAAAGCACATGGTCAAACAATGAAGTGACGACGTCCACATTTAACACTCTTTAGTTAACAGCTGATTCCATTGTCGAGTGTGGTGAAAAGTAATCAGAAAAATACGAGTTAATAAATGTTTTTATCAACTTGTAAAACAAAACAAACAGAATAATCTATTAAACCAGCTCTATGATGTATGAGCTTTGTTTATTTAGAACCAAATGAGACTATTCTTGAATGACGACTATTTTCAATATCATCGACTGTCATAGGTAGGAAATGTCATTCCACTTACACCACTAGTTAAAACTTGCTCGACTTTGACATCCCCTCCAGACTGTGGCGCTTTTGAGCTCAGCATGCAATTTAATTTGTCTTGTTTCACTCATTAACTGGCATTTAAACCCTACATGTCCTTTGGGAAAAAATAAACTACCCGCTATCATTATAAAATAAAATAAAACATCCTATTGAGATGCTGCATTGAGTGCAACAGAGACCCGAATAAAAGCACATTCAGAATAAATATAATAGAAATGCAGCAGCAATGTGAACAGAAACAAAGGCGATGTTTTTTTGCCTGCATTGCACTGAGAGGCCGAAGTCGGGTGGTGTCCACGTTTCCGTTCAAGGTCAGGCGTGCAAATTGACGTTTCCTGCCGTTTAGGTGGAGATGAGGGGAGGTGAGGGGAGCTTTCAGGGGGCACCACAGGGAGCGATGTTGGAGATGAGGGGAGATGAGGGGAGATGATGGGGAACCACATGGAGCAATGTTGGAGATGAGGGGAGGTGAGGGGAGCTTTCAGGGGGCACCACAGGGAGCAATGTTGGAGATGAGGGGAGATGAGGGGAGATGAGGGGAGATGAGGGGAGATGATGGGGCACCACAGGGAGCAATGTTGAGGGGAGATGAGGGCAACTTTCAGGGGGCAGCACACGGAGCAATGTTGGAGATGAGGGGAGATGAGGGGAGATGAGGGGAGATGAGGGGAGATGAGGGGAGATGATAGGGCACCACAGGGAGCAATGTTGAAGAGGGGAAATGAGAAGAGATGAGGGGAGGTGAGGGGAGCTTTCAGGGGGCACCACAGGGAGCAATGTTGGAGATGAGGGGAGATGAGGGGAGATGATGGGGCACCACAGGGAGCAATGTTGGAGATGAGGGGAGATGAGGGGAGATGAGGGGGGAGATGATGGGGCACCACAGGGAGCAATGTTGAAGAGGGGAAATGAGAAGAGATGAGGGGAGATGAGGGCAACTTTCAGGGGGCAGCACACGGAGCAATGTTGGCCACAGCGTCCAGAGACTGAGCTGATTTCACGGCACCCGGCAAGGCACGACAACCCAGGCTTACCGTCTTCTGGGCAAACCTTTGCCGCGTAACAACACAGCAATGAAGCTTTCTCGTCCAGTTGTTCAGTGATGTTGCTCAACGAATGTTTTAATGGGCCTCGAGTTTTCCGTCAGTCCTACACATTGTAACACATCTGTGAAGAGTTTTATAGCTTATCGGTTTCCTCCAGTATAAATACATATTCTGAATCTGTATGCTAGCCGTGGCATTTGCACACCCACTGCAGAGTGAATTCCTGTGAGCGTCAAATCGTTTGAGGCATATAGCTTAATTGTCACTACCTTACCACAGCCCGAATAATTAGAATTGTTACAGCAACGGTACGAGAGACTTTAGGCCTGATGAAGATATGAAGTAATTCCTAAGCGTTATTTTAAGTGCCTTTTGAAATAAAACTAAGTCAAGAGCTGGCAAGAGGTGTCACTATTGATGTAATTATAAAATGAATGTTTCTTCATTATACTTTATCAAGGACCAAATGTAGTAAATGTAAGCTTTTTACATGTTTTTCAACATCCAGTGCGTGTCAGTGGTGATTAAAATAATTTCCTGAGCAATGTACTATTTTTATTTTTTAATACAAAGTCACTTTTCGATTTGACTGTAAGGCTATCATACTATTTTACAAGTGATCACATGCGGCACGGACACAATTATGTAAGTTCAGCGATAATGTTGAGAATTCAGACTATAAAAAACAAGCATTGCCTTGACACGGTAAAAGTATAAATTTGACGTTATAAGTGGCTACATCGAAATATAAAGCAACACATATATGGGAACACTTTTAATTTACCCTTGTCGTAACAGTTCTTTCATGAAATAGCTTATCTTCTAATATTTTTTTCTTACATGAAGCAAGCACTGCAAAAATAAGCCTAAAATGTGAGTTCAATATAATATTTAACACACAAATATCAATCATGTCTGTATGTAAAAAAAAACATAACCTCAATTAGAACAGCTACATTCTGGCCAGGGCAGTTACCCATTACTTACTGAAGCAACAAAGGCACTCAAATATGGAAAATGACATTTCCAAAACCATACATCCGCACATTCAATTCGCAACTACAAAAGCTCATACGCATTAGAGAGAGGTAGGGGGGGTAGCTGAAAAGGTCCTTCTGTATACTCCAGGGGCTGTCATTTCATTGCTATGTGGGACATATGGTTTTCATAAACCATTTCTATAATGGACAACATTTGGCTCTTTACACTGCTTGGACTGCATGCACGCAACCTGTCATTTTGTTGTTAAAAGGAGCGCGATTGAAAACCACTTCAAAACAATGCGTTTCAATAAAAAAAGTAAAGCAATTGTGATTTTTCACTAAGAGCGTACATTTTGGAATGTAAATCGTGCTAAAAAGTTTTTTTTTTAACGGGGGAAATAAATTCGTGCAAAAATGTTCCCATCTAAAATTTCCAACTGCCAGGATCGGCAAGATGATGATGGACGACGTTTCTCAACGTGTAAATAAACAAGTCAGCTCTGCCCAAAGCACCTACAGAAATTCTCCACTTAAGCAGCACAGTGTAGTTCAGTCACGCACAGTTGATAAAATTACCAATAGGTGGTCATCATATGTTTGCAACTGTGACTCACTGTGTACACATGTGTGCGTTCTTATACACACAACCATAATTTATCCAATGCAGGACTGAACAAGTTTATGTATGGAAGTATTTTCCTGTCATCATTTTGATTTCTTCTCTGGTCTTAAAAGTTTTACTTTAAATATGAAACCAATGCAGATGTGGCCGGGTGGCCCAGAGGTCAGAGCGCTGAATTGATGGTCTCAACCCGGTCACCAATGACTGCACGAAAAAAACCCCTTCACATTAAACTTGGTTCTGCACTTAATTTGTAAAATTCCAGCTCTGAGAATGTTGGCTGTCATGCAATGAACTTTACTTTCATAAGCAGTGTGAGTGGGAAAGTGCTGCCTATTACTCTGTTAATCAGAGGTCACTTGAAGGGATCTTAAAGGTAGTTCTGTAATATCAACTTCCATGGGCCCTTCTCTAACACCAAGGGTTGCATTGCTCTGCTAAAGTTCTGAAAGGATACTTAAAACCTAGAATTTCTGAAAGGATACTTCGTCTCCTGATGTGATGCTGATAGCACAATCAGGATAAAACTGGATAAAACCGTACTATAAATGTTTTAACTTATAAAACCGATGTTAATATGAAGCTGCCCGGACATCAAATTGATTGCTCGAATTAGTATTGTTTGTATGCACCTCTAACGGTCGACATGGCACATGACAGGGCAATGTGACCAGCAACACGGCCAATTGCTTTTGTCTCGTCAGTGCTGCTGCTGGTGATCACTCCATAGCAGGAGGAGGCATTGTAGGCTTCGTCAAGTGAAGAGAGGCCCATTCCAGGTTCAGTTTAATAATTGGCATAGATAATAATTGGCAGATATATTATGCATTTTGGTCTGGAATCTAAATCAGGCCATTGAGATTGTAGTAAAAATAAATAACTTATTACACTCAGATATTTATAGTTTTAAGCTGTTAATGTTACAAATCTTAGAAGCATGCTTTGTAGTTTTGGCTTGCATTATTTGGCGAGAACTACAGATGCATCCATCTACAAAATAAACTGCAAGTGAACAGCACAATTAATCAATAAAACCCAGCCAACGCTTTCGTAGTTTAATAAGAGGCTTATGCAACATGTGTATGGTCGTGCCCATAATCAAAGTGAGTAAGATGACATACAAACTGGTTCCCAATGTAGGAAATGCTGGTTCAAAAACAAAGCACAATCGCATGTAATTTAAGTATTCTCTCTATGAGTAGACGCCACAAACACAAAGCTGTGGCAAACAGCCAGACACAAAGGGGCATTTCGTACCATTTGTCTGGAAACTTTAACATGGTTGCATAACAGGTCGGCTGGATTATATGTTGGAATTAATATAGACATGAAGTGGTAGTGGCACAGTGCTCTGATCATCAGTCTGCCTGGGTAATAGTGTGTGGCAGTATAAGAAAACCATGCCCCTGGGTGTCAATGAGCCCAGAAGGACCGCAATGAGAATGCATGTGGGTTCATGGGTCCAGGCTTGGTCAACAACAAAGCCAGCACACTTCTCATTGGAAGTGCAAATGCGGCAAGAGCAACCCAGACAGGTTCCGCTGTGGCACATGACTGCCAATTGGAAGGTTGAGAGTGACAATATAGGCCTATTATTCCTCTGCGGTCATTCAAATGAGTACACCAGAGTGATTATGGGAAGCCAACAGTGGGTGTCACATAGATAGAATCGGTCCCATTCTGGGAACCGCTCGTTCAGGGTTCATGAATGGATATTTTGAGTAGATTGTTTTACTCCAACTTTATTTGACACTCGGCCACCTGCAAAACATTTCTAAGCAATGCAGTTGTCTTTGTGGGGTGTGGAGAGCCCTGCGTACCTCATTCATGACGTGCTCCCTCATGCGCACTCTCTCTTCCTCCATCTCCTGCATGTCATCCTCTGCGTTCTTGGGGTCATAAACCTTCTCCAGCTGTCATGAGAGAATGACGGTATCAATTAGTATCAATGTCAATCTTTGCTGACCAGGATCTTTTTGTTGTTGTTCTAAATAACCATTGTGTTGTCACCTGCATTCGATTAGTGGAAAGCACATGCAGACATAAATGAATACTTAAATAACTCACACCACCCTTCGGCCATTTGTTTATTTTTGCCACGAAAAGTTTGGAAAAATACACTCAAACCAAACAGTGAATGGACATCATATCACTTAATAGTGGAAGCGATTTGCTAAAGCATGTCTGAATGGGTAACTTAACCGGCAGGACCAAGAGACACATAGTACAGCACTGGCATTGCCGTTGTTAGTGTGCCTCCTTTTTAGAATGAAGAATGCCCCATAAAGTTTAAGGCATGCATAAGAGTTTCTGGCTCCGTGCATGCTATTATCTGCAATAATGACCATATATCACAATTTCACGTTAGAGTTCCACTGAGTTTTAGCATGCCTCTATATGAAAGTTTGCATTTTTAACGGGGCATAAGTATACACGAAAGGCATTAACACATTTTTTCATTAGAATGCACCCTTCTCAGTTTTCTTATGGAGCATTTAATAATTATACCTTTTTTAACCCACATGCCATCGACTATAATCTCAACAACCATCTGACATGAAGATAAGACACCTGCATGGCCCATCTCCAAAGGCGCTGAAAAGTGTGCGATGGTTCATGAATAAACATGCCATCACACCTGAGCAGAGATAATTATCAACCGTTTTTAAATAAAAACGACAAACAAATGTAAGGCAGGCTGCTACTAGATAGTAAAGATTCAGATGAATTTAAAAAAATAGGTTTACCACAACAAGATGGTTGCAGGTACAAGGTGCAAGATGCAACTGGGCAGTTCTCAAACTAGATTCCTTAATCTTCTTGGTTCTTTGCGACAAAGTCACGTAGAATGGAAATAAAAGAATACAAATAAAACATAATAAAATAAAATTCTCACGACGTTTCGGCCACAACACAAGTAGCCTTCTTCAGGTGAAGTAACAACTGTCGGGACAACAGCCAAACGAGCCGATATAACACACATCAGGCTCGCGGGATGAAAGTCACTTTCTTGTGAACATAAATACTCAAATCACTGCTTTTACAAAGTCAAAAGTGATTTCCTGCTCGAATGCGCATCGAGGCGGTACTCATCTCCCGTTTACAGCCGAGCCAAATTGTGGAAATTCCACATTCCCTATGGAAGGAGCAAGGACGACCATGGAGGGATGGACAAGCTTAGTCAACTCCTAACCAGGATTTGAACTCGCAACCTCTCGATAAGTCACTCGGCTCTGTTGCTGATCCAACCGAAGAGATTTGACTAATGCTTGTTGTGTAACAGTCAACGCAGAATGCAGGACTCTCTCTCGTTGATGATAGACTTGTGTGAAATAAAATGCCTTTTGTGGGAATAAAAACTTCGAGCCCTCATTCTTGGCCAAATGGTGTTTATCACAATAATGCACTGATGTTTTTGCAAAATAATACTTGGTCACCCCTGCATGGAAATTGTACTCAAATAAGCAGCCCACTGTAATTTAAATGACAACAGATAAAAAATAAATTGAGGTAACATCAAGGAGTCTATTCACATTAACGCAAACTAAATGCAGATGAAATACATCTGAAAAGGGTGTTACTATGCTTTGTACAAAGTGTCACCAAAATAAGCCATGATATTTGTTATGGGGAATTTCACATTTACAAATTACAGCGAAATAAGTTGACTGGAATATATACAAGCCGTTTTCTTTTGCAGGACATGGACATGTATACTCAATAAAGAAAGCAATATGACTATTCAATAATTTGGCAGAATGAATATAACAAATTAAATGTTTTAAGAGTTAAAAGAGTCATGCCATTTTTATAAAATAAGATCATGCATAATTACATATGAACCATCCAAAATAAAAGATTGTAATGCATGCATTAATGTACAAATATACTGTGTTCTTTAATAGAGGCGATAATGCAATTGGTGGGTGAGGCTTACATTTGGCAGTAGCGAGAATATGAAGGCTGATCTTGACCATGATGATTAAATTGATGGTGATTGTGGTAGCAGTGAGGGTATAGATTGTTTTTCGAAAATTGCTTAAAGCAAAAGCATTATATGAATACATTTTTCATGAAGGTACAAGTGATGAAACATTTTACATTCGAGGATTTGGGGGGGGGGGGGGGGAGCGGAATGCCTTGTTGACAAGTTATTAATGTCCACCGTGGGCCACTCAATCACGTGAATCTTTCACCACGTGACAAATTGTACTGATGAAAGAGCCTGTTGAAGCAACAATAACTGTTTCTTAGTGGCATGCATTAAATAAAAAAAATGCGGGAGGCATGGGTTTCTCAGAGGTCTAAATGAAAATAACATTACGGAGACAAACTTCGATGAACCGTAGTTCAAAACCTCGGGCCTATTTAACGTCTTTCATTTAATCTATTGGGCGTCCACATGCATGCATGATCTGTTTTGTATGTGAAAGGATGGGAAAGTCATTACTAATTCATCTTTCAATGTAAAATGTCATACAACGGCCTATTCTTGCAAACATCCACTTTGTAGCATTTGGTTTCACTAGATAAATCCCTGCATAAATGACCAAATCCCTGAAGCTGCCCACTAGGAATAAATAGGTATCACTTTTTGGATAAAGGATGGTCCCAACTGAGTTACCAATGATTCCAATAAAAACTCCGTTGCATGAAATTGGTCATTGAACTTCATTTCATCATAGCCAACAAAAGAAAGCACACTTCACTTCGAAGGGTTTAATTACAGTGGTGGCTTATAGTTTACTTTTGAAATGAAATGTATAAATCCTTAAACATTAAAGTGGCTTCTAAAATCAAGTGCAAATTACATAAACTTGTCTAAGCAAAGCAAGCAGCAGGTACAGACAGATGGTATTATTTTTTTTATATTGGACTGGTGTCTATCAAATGTAAAATAATCGCAACCTTAACTAAACCTGCATACTTATGCAGAGCTTAGCTTGGCTCAGCTGACATGCAGCAATTTCTCTGGACTGTTCAATTTAAAGACCATGGGTGATACCAAACAATACAAGCAACCTGTGTGGCAATTCCTATGATATGAATACATAGCTTAGTATTCGCTCTCAGCTATGGGAGATTCTTTAGTAAAGTAATAGAAAATTTGTATTATTTCATAATCGAATAGAACCATATCCCCAATCCAGGAATGTAGTAAGAAACTCAAATAAATTGTAAAATTGCGCATGCAATTACTTGTGTAAATGATTATTAATTTGAAAGCCAGCCTGGCTCATCATAGTGCCACAACACTGCAACCGAAAAATTATCAAGATGACATTTTCGATATTATTGTTAGCAATATAACAAGGGTGGAATTAATTCACAATTGAGAGCAATAAACTACATTGAAAAATCTGCATGATTTCATTGGTCAGACTGGCAAATTGTGAATTTACAGCTACACATACGCACTCATGCATTGTATGTAATGTATGAATGCAATTGATATGAACACTTAAAATGTCACTGCTGTTGACTTGAACTATAAGATAAAAAGAACACTGCCTAAAAATCTGAATTCAGTGCATCGTTTGCAGAAGACAGCCCAAAGTTTTGGGCTTGGAGGCAAGCCAACCACCCTTATGCTCAAATTCTTTTGTATATTGCAAAGGGTTGCCTAACAAGGCAGTCATTGTTTGTGACCGATAGAACCTGTTAATGAGAAATAACTTCATGGTGTAGAGGTCTGATGCAGGCATTACAGCAGCCACACCGAAATTTCACAATGTGGTTACTACTCTCTGCCAGGGAGTGTCTGCAGTATGCCATTTATCCGTACATTTTTGCAGATTTTTTTTTATGAAAGAAAGTGTCTCCGTAGATGGCGCTTTTCCAGACATCGTAGCAGACAATAAAGCCGCCCATTACTATGAGCACAATGGTTGCTCAGAGAATGGTTATATTTATAGCACAAGCTATAAGTAATGCAGTACTATATACATTTTGTAAAAAGGGGACAAAAATACATAAATATGAACGGATGATCCATAATCGAGATTTTTGGGTTAGATCGCGTAAATATGTGTCGCTAAAACCCGCCACAGCCAACTAGCAAGGGTTGTCAAGTAAACAGAACGTGCCAATTCGTCACTAGTACAGCACACCGGTGTGTTGGAGAACCAAGCAACAACATTTACAATCTGAGTACGACGTTTCGCCAGTAATTACAATTAACTTCATCAGGCGACAGCCAGATTTGTGGAGAAGTTTTAACTTCACATTTATATATTTACGCGATCTAAGCCAAAAACCTCCATTATGGATTATATTGGTCGCAAAAGCCTACGAGTTAAACTGATGAATGGATGAGTTGTCAGCTACGCATAATGAGGAACACATAATCTTTGCTTGGGCAATTAATGACCACTGTCGACTCTGCAAAATCTGAAAGTTGTAAAGCTGCTAGCATTGCTTAAGAGACAGTTCCCTGCATTCAACAGTTATGCTCCTGATATAGAGCTGAAGCTTGATATAGCAATGGATGTAGTGTTAGCATTGCAATTTTTTTTTTTATCCCATACCAACATAAATTAAGGGAAACAATAAAATCAAGCATTTTATTATTATTTTTAAAATATATATTTTGTATTATTTTATTGTTTCCCTTCTACGTGACTTTACCGAAAGAACCAAGAATATGAATCCCTGCAGTCATGAAAGCTTTAAATCAAAACATAAATTAAGATTACAGGCATCACTGGAATGTCATTTAAAGGAGCTAAACAAACACACACACTCCATCCGAACAATTTTTACTGTTGATAAGAGGGAATAGTTTTTAATCTTGTGAGAGCTCTACTAATGTTATGCCTATCAGCTCAAATATTAAAAAAAAATGTGTTCGGGCTATCGCTACACCATATATTGTAACCCTCTCAAATAACACCATACAACTGCTACTCTCTCA